GCTGAACTGCTTCTATAAGCTGTGCTGCTTAGTCTAACTTTGGTGCTCCTTGTTCGCTGAGGGAATCTGTGATTCTCTCGAACCCACAGCTAGGACAACAGAAAGCGGCTCGGGTGCCCACTGTGCCAGATCTCGGCTTCCTGCAGCTGCTCTGAAGTTAAGGCAAGGATGTTGTCCATGTGCCTCTTTGCCCCTGAAACCACCTATATACTTGTCTAAAGTTCTGCATGAAATGCTGCTTTCCTGCTCGCTGTCTGTCACCAGCCTTCGTTGACCAGAACACTGTGAAGGTCATCTCAGTGACTATCTTTAGTCCAGTCAGGAGACTGTTCCCTTGGTAACCAAGTTCATTTTTCACTGATTCTTCTCTCTCTCTGATTTTTGGGACTGTTGGAGCTCTACTATAAGTTAAAGTAACCTTATAAATGCAGAAATATGACAGGTTGACACACAAGGCATCTTACAACTCCAGCAGAGAAGTAATTCTGTGTTTGCCCCATGAGTAGAATCCCTGGAATCGTGGTCCTGCCAGTGCTCTTCCTCTGCTCAGATAGGGATCGTCCCTGGGGTGTACCACAGGTCCCTTTCTCTCCCCATCCCACATTGCCTCTGGGGCTGTTAGTGGGTCCCTGGTTGACCCCTGATGGCCATGTGGCGAAGCCACGCCAACAAGCATCCGGAAGGAACCACACCTCAGTTACCCCATGCTCCTCTCAGCCTTGTAGTGGCAGGTTTGCTTCCTCTTTTCATGCCCTCTGTCCAAAACTAAAGGCACAATGCAGCTGTGCTTGGTCCCCTCAGGTCCCCACAGAAGCCCAGGGGTACAGCTGGGATTTGCCCCTCTCCTTATCGCAGCTGATTCTTCTCGAGATGTGTGTAGCAGCACTGGGAAGGCCACGGCATGTCACTAAAAGGCGAGTCCCACTGCCAGTCTGGGCAGCATTTTCTTCCAAAGCAGAAGGCTGTGAGTCCTGTCTCTCAGGGACTCTTGTTACCCAATCAATGAGTTCTCTGCTCTAACTGGCCACCAGGGCCATTGTCTTATGACACAGCCTGGTCAGGAGCCCTTCCATCTGCAGAAGAGAGTTCACACCTTCGGCTATCTTCATATGAGTGTATCTAATTTCCTTAATAAACTCCAGTTTCAAGTATTCTGCCATTTGGAAGATTTTACACACTTGAAAAATGTTGCCAATGATGTCTTCTGGTGAATAGCCAAGATGCCACAGGTGAGCGAGAATCGTGTAGGCTTTGTCAGTATTGGCATTCACACAGTGCTGGATCATCTCCTTCACCTTGAACACATTCTCACTGTTAATGAAGCCAAATCCTGAGAAAGTAGACTGCAAGTTGTTCAACACCTGCTGCATGTCTCCCTGGGCAGTGAAGATAATGGCTTCAAGACCAGTGTACTGCACATTCTCCTTCTCAATCACGTTCATTAGCCTGATAAGGACCTGGCCATTGGTCAGCTTTGTGTAGCGGAGGACAGTGCACCTGGACTGAATGGGCTCTATGATTTTATCTGAAGCATTATAAGCAAGAGCAAAGCGAGTTGTTTTGGAATAGATTTCCATGGTTTTCCTCAAGGCTTGCTGGGCTCCATCAGTCATGCTGTCTGCTTCATCTAGGATGATGATCTTATGTTGTCCTTTGGGAAGGGTGACTTTCTGTTGGGCAAACATTTTGATTTGTTTCTCACAACATCAATGCCCCTGTCATTTGAGGCATTGAGTTCCAAAACAGCATCCTTGAGAGCTGGGCCCAGAAGGGCTCGTGCCAAACACAGGATGCTTGTAGTTTTGCCAGTTTCTGGGGGGCCAGCAATGATAATATTGGGCACATTCCCTTCTCGTGCAAAGACCTGCCAGTTTCTGCAGACTTGGCTAGGCACAAAACAGGGTTGGCTAGACGGAAACCATGGGCCTATCTTGTGACCCTATTAAGATATCTGGAGTGGACAGGCTAGTGGCCTAGTCAGACCAATACTTCTCTCACAGCAGTTTGTAGTGGCTGGCACTGCTGGGGGCCTTGCTGGGGATAGGAGCAGGGTCCTGGACCCCTTGCTTGGCCACCCCACTGTAGCTCTCCTCCACCTCCATTCTCCTGCTGCCTCTTACCACAGGCCAAGCTGAGGGACCCCACTGGTGCACGAATCTGTGCACTGGATCTCTAGTATGCATATGAGATCTTTGATTAATCTCTTCTTGCCCTTCCCCTTTTCCCCTTCCCTCTAAAATTCATCAGTCCGTTCTATGTTTCCATGCCTGTGCATTGAGCATCTGCCCCCTGGTGGTCAGTGCATGTCATAGCCACCAGGCAAATGGTCGCTTAGGCTTTTATATATAGAGAGATTACAAGCCATACAATCAAATAAGAATCCAAGAGTTCATACAAATGAATGCATGGATAAATGAATGGATAAACAAGGAAAAAAGAAAGTTCTTCTTTATGGCAGAATGCC